CCTCTGCTTTTGAATAGTAAAGGGTTGGTGGCTGAACCAGACGTGAGCAGGTCCTTTGCTTTCCGTGCACTCCTTCTATGTGCCGTCACTGGCAGCACCAGCTGCTCAGTCGGTACCTTTGACTCGACAGTGGGTGTAGTGTGCGCTCACTCTCTGCACCTCGAGGCCCCGCAGAGGAATCACTGACCCTGTGCGCAGGGCCCAGTCTTGCCCTCCCTCATCCCTGGTCTGCTTCCACACCACCAACCTGGCAAAGGTAACGGGGTTCGCTTTGTTTGCGCCGGGGAAGTGGCACAGAGTTGTCCAGTCTCTTTCTTCAGCTTGACATATGTATCTGGAGGATTTTTTCCTGGTTATACTCGAACACTAACGTGATTGACTGTCTTCTTGTACATTATGTGCCTATGAATTTACCTTTCTGTGAAATATCTGTCCATGGTGTCCACATTTTTCTAGTTAGTCCTTCCTTATTGTAGCGATTGATTGGAGATATAAAAAGTTATCATTATATTTATGTTCTTAATCTGTAGAATATTGAAGTCCTTGAATTTAAAATGCTTTCCTCTGGGGAGGACTTCTCTTTGTCTTTTTATGAAGAGTCAAGGAGGGGTTATCAGTTGGTGATGAAGTTTAATCACTGAGCAATTGGCTTAGGGGTCTGTCATTGTAATGGTATTGTAAGTTTTGATAACAAATTCAAGGGAAATCAAGTCCATGGTTAAACAAAATTTCATAAAGAGATTTTTCTTAGACAGTGAAAGGTATTACTATCATTTCAAACTTATCTTGTTTACTGTAATGTCAAGAATTTCAAATATTTGCTTTTGTTTTAGGTATCGTAAAAACATTAATTTCATAAGCTCAAGTAAATCAAGCAGAAATGTGAGCTTGATCAGTGGGTATTAAGTTACATTTGGCTAGGGATGAGAATATGGCTCAGTGGTAGGGCACTTGCCTCTCCTCCGTAAAGCCCTTGGTTCAGTCCCCAGTAACGGAAACACGCACGCATGCGCACACACACACACACACAGTAATAAAAAGTACTGATATGCTAATAAGATGCCAGAAATACACTATAAAATTCAAAAAAGGTTAGGAGATTTTGAAAGTTTTTGTTATAAGGAAATAATCAAATCTGAGGAAGATAACGATGTTTGGTTTGATTTAAACATTATGTAATATATATACATGTTGAATATTATACCCTACCCTGTCTATGTGTATAACTTTATGTGTCAATAGAATATAAGGTAAAAGAATGTTTAGTTAACACTATTCCTATAGTAACTGATCCAACATCCAGACGCTTATACAGAAGCCTTCAGCTCATGTTGGAACCTTAACCCACGTTCCCATGGCTCTTCTGCTTGATGGTCCATGTACTCAGCTTTGGAGCTGATGAAGGTTAGCCTTATATCATCAGTTTGTAAAGCGGGTGCACTTAAACACTAAATTTAAATTGAAAAGGACGTTGCGATATCAGTAGAGTGTCCTGTCTACCCTTCAGCCCTTCCCTCTCATTGACATCTTACACAATTCTAATGCATCTGCAGCACTAAATGCCTAGTCTTTAACTAAATTTCACGACTCATTTGCTACTGTGAAACTTCATTTAGAACACATACCAGTTTTCAGTTGTTAAGTCTCCTCTGTTTCTCAAATTTATAATATTTCTCAGACTTGTTTTTCCTGATGTTAACAGTTTTGAGGTATATCGGTTGAAGGTTTTGACAAAACAAACAAACAAACAAACAAACAAACAAACAAAAAAAACCCCCAACCTTCTCAAAATGTTATAGTGCTCTGGTTTGAAGGCATCAGTTTTTGCAAAGGATTTCATGGAAGCGAAGCGCCCCTTTTCATCACATCTGGTGGCGGTGATTGCTGTCAGGATGACTTTAATTCCCATCACCAGGCCATGGTGGTTCATGCCAGGTTTCTATGGCAAAGTGGATATGCTGAGTCATCGTGAATGTGCTGAGTCATCATGAGCAGCCCAAGTCTGAGGGTGATGCGTCAATACAGAAATAATAGCAGTTCCCATCTTTCCGAGGTTATGAATCACACATCTTCATAATGCTGTTTGCATGTTTTGCATTTATCTTTGCTGCAATCATCTCCTGTGTTGTTGGCAGTATATCTTTCTCTTGTCTGATTTTTTTCTCAACTCTTTGTTGACCCTTGCCAGGGGGTATTTCATATAATTAAAATTACCTACTTTGTGGTCCTCTGTGATGAGCTTCGTTTGTGTGTACCTGTGTTTGTATGTGCTCATGTACATCTATGGTTACAGGATAACTCTGGGTGTCATTTTTCAGGCACTCTCTACTATCTGTTTGTGACAGCATCTTTCATTGGTCTAGAGCTTTACCAAGGAGGGTAGACTGTGTGGCAAATAAGCTTCAGAGATCTGCCCATCACAGCTTCTCATCTTATGACAGAGGGACCTAAAAGCATGTGCCCACACGTCTGGCCTCTTACATGGCCCCTGGGGATCCAACCCAGGACCTCCTGCTTGTGAGCCAAACACTTTACTCAGGCATCCATTTCCTCCTCTTCTGGGACTGGCCTTTTGGTGAACAGTTTTGAACAGCCTACAAAGGACCGTGTCAACACAGCCGCTTATGAAGTGCTGACTGAGCACATCTTGCGTGAGGACCGGCCCTATTCCAGGCTCGACATCTCTAGACGTCTAGCTCTATTCCTACCTTATCAATACCGAGTATTTGATGCATCGTATACTACGAAATGTGCCAAGTATTTGATGTCTGACTGGAATGGAATACTTTTCCTTTTTCCTAGGGAGAGTTCCTGACATCCACAGGGAAAAGGCAGTGGCCACCAACCACTGGTGTGCGGTTCTCACGAGGGAGTTGGGCTTACACATATATGATTGTGTGGCTTCTGGAGTAACAGCTCAGAGGGGGGTTTAGGAGCCTCCCTCCATCTTTTTCAGTAAGTGAGGGGACAGGGTGGTTCCTGCTGTTCACTGGCTAGGGTAGCAACTGATAAGAATGAGCTGGAACTCACGAGGGTGCTCAAGAGAGCTAAGGAAAATCCTTACCCTAAAGGAAGTTTAGAGTCTTGTTACTGAGATTTTATATCCAGAGGAGTAAGAAAGACGGTGCTCAAAGGTCATTAGCGTTATTACATGCTCTGTGAGAGATTTGTTCCAGACCCCTTCACAGGGAGCATCAGCTGTGGTGGAATTCTTCTCAGCGAGTAAGAGACTTTCCCCAGACTCTGGAGTGATGGGACACCAATCCTTTCTTACATTCCAACCATTTTCCCTACTTCTTAATCCGATCTTACCTTACCCTCCACCTCTGAGACATTGATGCCTTACTCTTATGGGTGGATGAGGGCTGAAGATTCATTTTCTGAAGCTTTTCTCTGGGATGTAGACCCTGCCTATTTAAGGATCAAAGTCTAGAGCCAACAGTTTTTGAGAAGGTCTGAGCTTGTATATCACAGGATCTTCATTCTATGGAAATCCAGAACAGATGTTGTTAGCTGGGCCATCAAACCTATATAAACAAAGAAGCACACAGTGGATGTGAGCTTAAGCTTGCCACCAAAAACAGCAGGCTTTTAAAAATGAAATGCCTGAAGTAATGATACCGACAAGTCATTAAAGTTTAAGCAATGCACAGAGATTGAATCTTGGTGTGTAAATCTTGCAGACAGGGATGCACTCCTCATGTACATATACACGTGTGGACACTGATTTATAAATGGACAAATCTCTGTATTTAAGAAGTTAGGGTAACTTCTCTTCGAGTTTGAAGAACTTTTAAGTCTTCTAATGGCCTGCAGGTGAAAGAGAGCCTTTCTTCACTATGCTGTTTAAAACTTAATTTTATTCATTCGTCAATTTTAGCTGACAGTGAACTTGTATGTTATGTGCTGTGACGCATTCATACTCACTGCCCTCTCTCACCCTTCACCTGCTGCTGCTGGCCTCCGTCTTCCAACCTCATCCCCTCAGATGTGTTTTAGGCAACAGTGCTACAGAGATTGTCCCTAGTGACTTCCAGGAAAGACCGCAGCGAGCAGCAGGACGTGTGCTGGAGACATAGCTCCAGGCTGCAACACCCCAAGGGATTCTCAGCTTCCACTCAGATGAAGCCGGGACAATGGGCTTTACCACGTAAAGAATTCAGAACGAGTGAGTGCAAAGCCAAGCCGGGGCTCATTAGAGGAGGTTTTAGTGCAGATTTGAGCATGGGGATTGACACAGAGGTGCTCAGGGGAAGGTAACATATACGCAAGCCTGGCTGTGGTCTTTTCAAGAGGACAGTCTAGACATTTGTGTTGATCTGATAGAACGCAAACATCTGAGATGTGTCAATCTGAGAATAGCTGTCTTCAGTGAGAGCCACAATTCTGTTGGGGTAATGAAAATTGGGATATGACCTTGCTATTCTGAAGCATTCACTAAGTGGCATGATTTGCAGCATTTCATCGTTACTTTTCTAATTTTTTTCACTCTAATAGTCAGGTACACTTCTAATAATCTATATCGAGACTAACAGATACTCAGAAACTCATAAATCTAGTAACTTGAACAAAAAATCACATTAACCAAGCTTTTGCATACAATTTTTATTTACTTATATCTGCCTTCCTTATAGAGCTCAGCCTCAAAGGGATGATGGTATTCAAAAATTAGACTTTGTGATACAAAACAGACAGACAGTTACCTTTCTTCCCTAGTCCCTCATCCTGATTTAATTCCTTATTGATGGCTCAGCAGGAAGCAGCAGCAGAGCTCATAGTTCAGAAACTTTCTACTCAAGTAAGGTAATATCAGGAAAGTCAGGGCTCATGACAGTGACATTCATTGTGTGCCTGACTGGTACCCAGACTGTGTGTCAGGCCTCTGTGGCTCCAGGTGTCTCTGCTCATCCTTGGAGGGAGAAGCGGATGCTGGGACAGATTATGCTCATACAAACGATGGTACAGATGCCCTTTGTGACTTTCATTCTCTCTCTTCCTAGGTAATGGAAATTAGTGATCATAGATGCAGTCCTGATTTACACACCATTGCTAACATGCCAGAGTGTGGAGCACGAGGAGACCTGTTCATTATCCTGGTCATGGAAGACGGGAAACCGGAAGGTCCTGTGCTTTTGCCACAAGCACAGGTGATAGATCTTGGCTTCATAGGGGGAAATGGGCAGAAAATGTTGAGTTTTTCTGCTGTGAAACAGATTTTAAAGACTTCTTATTTGAACACAGGCTCAACGTGAAAACCCTTCTTGTAACCTCACATTCATGACCCATTGTCCCCTCTGTGGAGCCATCTGCTGATGCTGGGACCTCCGCCCAAGCTTTCTCTTCGGACAGGAAATCGCTGCCAAAAAGGGGTGAAAGATTGTAACAGCTAGAGGATCAGGGAGTTTGCTGTGGGATAGTGTCTCCTAGAAATGGCAGAAACTACAGCCAGAGAGTCTCATCAACGTGGCTGGCTAAACATAAACTAAACAAGGACAGTAACAACAGACAAGCTAAGATGGACAGGGGAAGCCCACAGGCCTCAGTCCCACACAAAGAATTACAGGCAAATAAGGAATGCTGAGAATGGGAGAGAAAGTGTCCGCAAGGAAGAACACAGGAACTGGTTTTCCAATACCAAACGGCCAACCCTAAAAACATACATACAAGTACCATTATACAGCCTGAGCAGGTTGTATTTATGTATATAGGATTACATATGTATATATGTATGTGCCAACAATTAACTTAAAAAGAGGCGTAGATTTGACAGAGGGCAAGGAGGGTTTGGGGGGGAGAAGAAAGAAAGAGGAAAAATGTAATTATAATCCTCAAAATGAAAGAAATAACAATAATAGCAGTAAAAGAAATTCACTGCTGAGAAGGGTTAAAAGTCTTTGTTCTTGCAAAGGATCTAGGTTCAGTTCCCATCACCACTGTGGGGTCCACAGCCATCCATAACTCTAGGTCCAGGGGTCTGTCTCCCTCTTCTCACTCTTCAGGCATCAGGCAGGCATGTGGCACATACAAACACACACAGATACCCACAAGTAAGTAGCCATAAAATACTAAACAGCAAACAAACTGTTCTCTGGTAAAAAGAGAAATCATGTACAGTTCTTTTAATACAACAAGAGTGAATGATTCTTAAGGTTATATAATGTGATCTTGAAAGCATGGTTTATTGTCTGTGTGAATTAAAGTATAGAAAATATCAAACCTTCACCTCATTTTAGGTTGTCATCCAGGTTTCAGACATGTTTAGAAGGAAACTACCGTGGCCTTAAGTGCTTTGCCGTGGCTTTCTACGTTAGTGTGTCTTAATTTATGACTTCGTCTCTGCTTCCTGTCACTGAAGAGTGAAGGCTGGCAGGCACTGCAGAGCTATAGCCAGTGTTTAAGGAGGGCTCCTCCGTGACAAAGACCATCAGGTGCACGTTTTCATCCGTCCAGCACAATGCCTTGGGTACAGTGGCCATTCACTGTTTTTAGTGGATTATTATAATTAAACTTAGGGATGGGTTCCAGGAACACGACAGCTGGATCTTGATTCGCCCCCTGCTGCCACCGAAGAGAGGCATGCTCTGACACAGTCCGAACATTTAATTTAAACTATATTTTCAAATATTTTCTTTTAAATAACAAAGGCCTCCAATAAATTTTCAATAACTTTTATCACATATTGTTATAGAGAGTAAATTTGATGAAAGGGAAGCACCTAACCTCAAATTCAACAAAAATTGCAAAACCAAGCATATTTATTTATCCTAATACTAAAATCTAGATTGCTGCCGTGGCCAGCACATACATTCCATAATTAAGACTTTTCATTTTACCCTCACACAATGAGGCAACTGCTCTTTATCATGACTTTGAGAGGTTGAGTAGTGAGCACCCTTGTGTATCTTTCCATTTCCTAAGTCTCTGTCCTGCCTTGTACACTTTCTTATCGAAGCCAGCAGACATCCTCCATCTTTGTTCAAACCCTTGACAGAGTTTTGAAGTTTCAGAGGAGTTTCAAGTGGGGTTATCTCTCTTTGCTTCTTGCAGCCTGAGTCAAATAGCTTAAGTGTAAGAAACACTAAAAGCAAATAATGTATTGTCTCATGCCTTTGGTTTGCCTTCCTTTTCTAAATAGGGCTGCATCGCACTGTGCGTCTGTGGAATTTTACAGCTTCCTACTGCGAGAGAAATGCTGAACAGCCCTTTGCTGCTCCTCATGTCCTGGATGTTTAAGATAAAGGTGGCACTTGTGTCTAGAGACAGCCTCTGTGTGAAGGGGGTGGGGAGACTTGTGAAAACACTTTGTGAATTCAAAAAGTCCATTTGTTGCTTGACTTGTATCCTATTGTCTGCTACTGAATTAAGGATGAGAAACAGCTTGCTTGAGCCAGAGTACTCTATGCTCCATTAAAAAAGTAAACCAACACACACACACACACACCACCACCACAAAACAAAACCCCACGATTGCCCAGTTTTGAACAATTTCTTGCAAGTTTTAAACCATTTTACCTACTTGATGAATTAAGAAGCTGATCAGAAAAATAAAATTTAAAGCATTCAATTGATTTTCCTTGCAATTTCCTCTCTTTTTGTTTTCGGGACTGCTGTACTATTACAAATAGCCTCGATTTTTAAAATTTGTATTACTGCAAACATGTGTGCTAGGCCCCTGAAGAGGCAAAGCACTGGATCAGGCTGCCTCTGACTCAGCCCAGGAAAGTTCTCCCAACCGATTTCCCAGCCAGAGGGTAGGAAAGTCTCTGCCAGCTTCTACCACAGAGTCATTACAAGGATTCTGTGAGCATTTGGAAATGAAACTTTCTTTACAACTGTAAGTCATAGCACCTGTGACACACATGGGCACGGTGCCAAGCACAGGCACGAGTGTGTGACAGGTTTCCTGAGGATGCCCATGAGAAAAAAAGTGAAGTCCCATTCAGCCTCGAAGGCACACACGTGCAAGGCCAGTTACTCCTCAAACTGCCTCTTCCTAGGGCAGGATTTCAGACGTCAGCATTAACTGTGAGGAAGACAGGCTTTTATAACTCAGGGTAGGGGTTTCCAAATGGGGGTTTTGGCAGGCAAAACAGGCAAGGTTAGAGGAGCAGAACACCAGCACAGCAAGTGAGTCCCGCCTGAAGTAAAGATGTGGCCGGTTGCAAGTGGACTAAGAAGGTCATTGTAAGGACAGGTAGTAATACCAAGGTGGTCATAAATGGTCATAGAATCTTCTGAAACAAAGGTAGGCTTGTGAGGTGGTTACCAGCAGCATTTTGGAACAGACATGATTGCCGTTCCTGGAGCAGGCCGTACAGAACCTTTCGGAGTTAAGGAAACAGGTGAGGCACAGCCCAGGCCTTAAGAAACAGAGGTTAAATCAAACAGGAACGAACCTAGTTTGTCTTTACTAGATGATGGCTTTTAGGCTAAGGAGAGGCAGAAGGCTGGCCCCTCCCAGGAAGCCAAGAAAAGGCTTCCCCTTTATCTGGTGACTGGTGCCTCCCTGTGTTCTAGTTAGGGTTTCTGCTGCTCTGATAAGACGCCATGACCAAAAGGTTGAGTTGGCTTACATATCCCAATTATACTCCATCAGTGAGGGGAGCCAGGCATGAGTGATTCCAAGCAGCAACCTGGAGGCAGGGGCACGAGCAGAGACCACGGAAGCATGCTGCTTACTTGCTTGCTCCTAAGCTTGCCTGTTACAGTTTTTGTATGTATGAATGTATGTATGTATGTATGTATGTATGTATGTATGTATGTATGTATGTATGTATTTTTTTACATCTAACTGTGCTTGTTTCTCAGTTTCTCTCTTAACATGGTTATCATTCAAATAGACTGTAATTCTTTTTTAGTAATAAGCTTCACAACACAAGAATTGAGCAGTTATTACTCTATTCTTAACACTCTAGGCTAATCTGGTTTCCTCCCAGGATACTTGTACTTTGCAGCTTTCCTGCTGAGCTCTCTTTCCAGGTGTCCATGGGAACTCTGCCCCAGGATGAATCCCGTACTTCCTCCTCAAACTCCTCTTCCCTGGCTGGCAGGAAGTCCAACCGTATTCTCTTTCTTGCTCAGTGATTGGCTGTAAGCTGCGTTATTGGCTTATCAGGGGACCACAGGGAAGCAGAGTTTATACAACATTAAGAAAGGAGATTCTCAGAACAAGGCTTGCAACCAGATATGGGGGATACAGAAATCAGCATTTGAGGTTTTTTTTTTTTTTTTTTTAAACACAGGACCATGTTCCCAAAGGTTGTACTGGCCACAGTGGGCTTGGCTCTCCCACAGCAAATATCAATCAAGAATGCCTCAAGGCCTTGCTTATGATCTAGTGGAAGCATTGTCTAAACCGAGGTTCACTCTTCCTAGATGATGTTGCTCATGTCAAACTGACAATGACAACAACAAAAACTAGCCAGCACACTCAAGCACACCCTGGGCTGTGTCCTTATCTACTCTGTCTTCATCCTGTGTGACAATGAAGTGACCATTGCGGAGGAGAAGGGGAAAAGCTTTATTTAAGCGGCTTATGGAAGCACGGAGCCGTGCTGGCTTGGCTTGCAGAGGCCATGGCCGCTTGGCAGCGCGAGGGCTGGTGGACCTTCTGCTGCAGCTGGGGCGCTGTCCTTCCCACTGCTGGGCTCCCACTGAGGGGGAAGCCAAGACTGGGGAATCTGATGTACCGATGCTTTTTAGTTTTATGGGAACCCACTTGTCAGTTGTTGACTGATCCTGACTGAGTGAACTCCTTCTCAGGAAGTTTTTTCTACACTTACACCTTGCAGGAAACTGCATGTGTCAGCTCCTATCAGCTTCAGCCTTACAGGTGTCATGTTCAGATCCTTAATTCCTTTAGATTTGATTTTTGTGCATGGAGACAGCTGTGTGTCTGAGTTCACTCCCCTATATGTGGATATCCCGTTTTCCCAGTGCCATTTGTTGAAGATGCTGTCTCTTTTCAGTGTGTATTTTCGGTAACTCTGTCAAATATTACATGGCTGTAGTTACTTGTACTCATCTCTAGGTCTTCTATTTTGTCTATGTTGTTTCAACATGTCTGTTCTGTGACAGTGACATTCGGCTTTTTGTTTTTTTATTTTTATTTTTTATTTTTACAGCCTTGTTATATAGCTGGAAATCTGGTATGGTAATTTTTCCAGCAATTTTTTTTCAAGACAGGGTTTCTTTGTATAGCTTTGTCTGTCTGGAAATTTTTCTGTAGACCAGGTTGGCCTTGAACTTTTGGAGAGCCACCTGCCTTTGCCTCCCCGATGCTGGGATTAAAGGTGTGTGCCGCCATGCTAGACCAGCACATTTTCCCCCTTAAGACTACTTTGGCCATCTAGAGTCTTTGTGGTTCCATATGGATTTTGGGACAGGTTTTTCTGTTTCTGTGAAGATGTCATGTGGATTTTGATTGGGATTTCATTGAACCTCTAAAATGATTATGGCAGAATTACAATGTTAATTCTACTAATCTATGTGCATCTTCTAGTGTCTTTCTCCATTTCTTTTTTTCAGAGATTTAAATTTTTTAAATTAGAGATCATTAGAGTTCTGTTTGGGAGATAAGACGTACATGTTAAGGGAAAATGTAGGTGGAGACTTCTAGTAGGGAGGGTATAAGAAGGGTAATAAAAAGGAAGAGGCAGGAAAGAGGGCTAAATAACACTATGGATACTAAAAAAAACCATAAGCAAGCATTATTTTATATTATATATAATATTTATATATAATATGTTATACATTATATATATATATATGAGCTGAGGAGATGTCTCAGACATTAAGGGTTTAGGTTCAA